CAAGACAACGAATGGTGGCGAGTGGACGATGTCAACTTCAACTGGATGATCGGGTACCCCTTCGCGGACTATGAATGCCCCTTGGGCTGGCTTCGGCTCGAATCGCGCGATTCGTTGGGCACAGTGATCCGGGTGAAGCGCAGCGTGCATTGCATCAACTTTCTACCGGATGGGGGGTTTATGGTTTAGGGTTTACGGTTTAGGGTTTAGGGTTTAGGGTTTTAGGTATTCCGAAGCGACACGACCTCCTCTCGGGGCTCCCAGTTCGGCTGGTCACTGAAGGAGCGGGCTCCGGATTCTGCCTACTCAGGGTATAGGGTTTAGGGTTTAGGGTTTAGGGTTTAGGGCTAGGGTTTAGGGTTCAGGGTTTAGGGTTTAGGGCTAGGGTTTAGGGTTGAGGATCACTGGGCCTTCTTCCCTTGAAATGGGTCTGCTGGGCGTTTGCAATCTCCGGGTTATCCAAAGGACCCTCGAACCCGAAAGACAGTGGGTTTAATTAGGGTGTAGGGTGTAGGGTTTAGGGCTAGGGTTTAGGGTTTAGGGTTTAGGGTTTAGGGTTTAGGGTTTAGGGTTTAGGGTTTAGGGTTTAGGGTTTAGGGTTTAGGGTTTAGGGTTTAGGGTTTAGGGTTTAGGGTTTAGGGTTTAGGGTTTATAGGATTTTTGGGTGTAGTGTTTAGGGTTGAACCGACCGCACACCCTAAACCCTAAACCCCACATCCCATGCCCTGTTTTTGATACCCGAAACCCTCTAAATGCGTGGTTTGGGGTGTGGCGCGACAGTCTGTCCTCCACCAGGCCTCAGACGCCGCTAGCCAACCCTAGAAAGAGCCTTTTTATAGGGTAGGAATGGGTTTAGAGTTTAGGGTTTAGCGTTTAGGGTTTAGAGGTTAGGGTTCAGGGTTTAGGGTTAGGTAGAATAGCCCAGCCTCCACCTGTGACTCGTAAGGTAAGCCCTCTAAGTAGCCCAGCTGCGCCCTGTACACTTTTTGGTTATGGGTTCCCTTATAAAGTAACCAACCCAAAACAGGCTGCCCTTATCATAATATGGTTACTGGGCTACTAAGTGGAGCTTTTGAAGATAGAAGCCTACACCCAAACCCAAAGCCCTCAGCTCCAAAGCTACAAGCTTGGACCCCTAAACCCCAAGCCCTCAACCCTAAACCCCAAACCCTAAACCCTAAACCCTAAAACCTAAACCCCCTAAGCCCTAGACCCTCAACCTGAAAGTCCGTCCAATGAGGCCCAACTTCTGCGGCCGCCCCTGCGACGCGGGGGCTGCAAAGGAGGCGGGGGTTTCTGGTTTAGGGTTTAGGGTTTAGGGTTTAGGGTTTAGGGTTTAGTTATAAGCTGAGGGCTTCGGGTTTTGGTTAAGGGTTGAAGGTTGAGTTTTTTTTGTAGGGTTTTGAGGTTTGTAAGTCCATAGGTTGTTAAGATTTGTGCCTAAAGAAGTGGCTGAACAGTTAAGACTTCTAGGGGTGACGGAGAGCTGAGTGATATTTGGGTGTCTACTTTCTCCTCCAAGTCTGAACAAAAAGGTTGTTGGATACTTTCGTTTATACAAGCTAGAGTGGGTTCCTAGTAGCTGAGTGAGTACACTTTACACTTGTTGGGGTACTATTATCCCCCTAGATAACCGAAAGTGTACACTTTTTGGGGCTTTATGAACTCAGCAACTAAGGGTGTAGGGGTGAATCTGGACCAGGTGGGTGAATGTCACAGCGACTGCGCCAATGCTGCCTACTGCCTGTGGACAGAGTGGGACGACGCAAGCGTGCAACTCAGTGTGGGGAAGCCTCAACTGCTGAGCCCCTGAACCCTAAACCCTAAACCCTAAACCCTAAACCCTAAACCCTAAACCCCAAACCCCAATTCCCTAAGCTCTAAATCCAAATCCCTAAAACATAGGACCCGAGCTTGATTACCCTGGTACATCAGCTAGGACCCAGAGTAGGCCCTTATTCCCATGTTTTAGGGCTTACGTAGGTTCCCTTGTAAGCCTCTCCACACCAAGAAGCGCACCCCTTTTCATTCCTAGGTTTCTCGTGGGCCACCCTAAACCCTAAACCCTAAACCCTAAACCCTAAACCCTAAACCCTAAACCCTAAACCCTAAACCCGTTTTATGCCTAGGTTGCCCTTCTGTCTAGCAGTTAGGCAGCTTTCAAGACAGAACCTAAGCCCGGCCCTGGACCCGAAGCATGTTAGGCGGGTTTTGGATTTGGGGTTTAGGGTTTAGGGTTTTAGTGGTTAGGGTTCAAGTCTGCAATGCATTTCCTAGGATATGGGGTCGCCTGGAAAAAGTTGCCATGGTCCTTGACGTCGGAGCCGCTGAATATGGAGGCTCCCCGTAGAGCTAAACCCTAAACCCTAAACCCCAAACCCTAAACCCTAAACCCAGCTACTCTCGGACATGCACTTCACTGACTTGGTAGCCAGCTGGTACTCCTTGCCCTAAATTGCTGGTTCAGGGTTCCGCTATAGAGTAAACCAACCCAAAGAGGGTGCCCTTATGATAAGATGGTTACTGGGCTACAACGTCAAGAAGTAACCAAGGGGGTTTAGGGTTTAGGGTTTTGGGTTTAGGGTTTAGGGTGGCCGAGGTGAATGCAATGCCCAGTGCGGGCATGCGTCGAAGCTTCGCCAGAGGTCCTTGACCAAAGTCGTGTCCGCCTCAGCTGGTTGTCACTGTGCTCGCTGCTCATTCCTCTAAGGAATGTTCTCGCCTCGGCTACCCTAAGCCCTACACCCTGAACCTTCACCCTAAAAGGAAAAGGGGGACCCTAAACCCCAAACCGTGACCCATGGGTCGGAGTATAGCGAGAGAACGGCACATAAGGGACCAGAAGTTGAGAACTGGGTTGGCTTAAGAAAGGCCTGCGTGGCTCAAAACGTGAGAAAGCAAATTTGGTGCACGCCTTTGGTTTAGGCATGTTGTTGTGCAAGTACTGAGTAGGTGGTCTTTAGTGATGAATGGCTTGTGACGGCTCTTCACACACGAAAGTCCTAAGTTCAGGGGTTTAGGGGTTTAAGCAGCCCTAAAACCCTTAACCCTAAAGTCTTACATCATAGCTCAGGGAGGATTCCTCTTTTTCTCAGTTCGGGTTCGGATGGGACTTGTTGAAAGGCATTTCGGAAGAATAGCTCCCTTCCAGGACGGGCTATTCTGCCCTACAGCCCCTTAAAGAGGCACTTTATAAGGTTGATTCTGGGGATTATAGACCCTGAACCCTAAACCCTAAACCCTAAACCCTAAACCCTAAATTCCCCATCCTTCTTTGGGGGGGCACCTGAGGAGCGAAGACCGATGTGGGGCGAGTATCTGCTCAAGACCACGGAGTATGCGCCGTGCTCGGGCGTGCAGCTCAAGGCCCGTGAGTTCCTTTATTGTAGCCAGAACCCCAGACTGCTTAGGGTTTAGGGTTTAGGGTTTAGGGTTTAGGGTTTAGGGTTTAGGGTTAGAGACCCTAAATCCCAAACCATGAACCCACACCCCAGGACTTGGCGGTTTGGGGGTCTCATGAGCCCTGCATACCCGTGATGATATCGCATTGTTTTTTTTTTTTTTGGGGGGGGGGTTCCTAATTTGTCGCTTAAAGGACTATTGCATTTCGAGGTATAGAAGGTGTCTCCCTATTCCGGGGAAAGTGCCCTGTTGATCTTGAAGGCGCGATTGCATAGGCATGTATTGGCATGCTCCCCCAAAACTAACAGTCCTTAATAGGGATTATAACAGGGGGGGGTACTATAACCCCTTAAGGACTGTTAGTATCATTCATAGGGTAAACCCTAAACCCTAAACCCTAAACGCTAAACCCTAAACCCTAAACCCTAAACCCTAAACCCTAAAACTAAGGCCTGTTAGTAGAAGATGGAACTTCCTGCCTAGGCTTCCTGCCTAGGCTTCCTGCCTAGGCTTCCTGCCTAGGCGTGTATTTAGCCTTGGCTGTCCCGCGCAAGACGTGCTTCTCTGAGTACCAATCAGAGTCTCTAGGACACAGAGTAGGTTCTTGTTCTCTTTCTTTTGAGTGTAGGTTCCCTTATACGGCCTTTACACCAAAAACGGCACACTCTTATTCCTACTAGGTTACTCTTGGGTCTGGGTCTATTCTTGCCTGGAGCAGTACTTCCGGCAGAGGTCTCAGACTCTTTTTAAACACCAAAAAACTTCAAACCCTCAACCTTAAACCTTAAACCCTAAACCGCCTACTCGAAAACCTAAACCTAAACCCCAAACCCTCTACTCGAAACCCTAAACCCTAAACCCTAAACCTCTTCCCTAAGGTTGCTAAGGACTCCTATTCAAATTGTTTTTGGGCTCCACAGGCCTGGTTATAACAGATTTTTGGCCTTTTTCAGGGTAAAGTTTTTGAATTGCGAGCCGAAGGGTAAAGTCCTTGCCCTAACCCTCTTAGAGTTGCGGGTTTAGAAGCCCTGACGTCCCAAACCCTGAACTTCACAGGCCGTGCTTTGTGACTACAAGCCCTGTACGTGGGAAGCCCAGAGGGAGGGAGCCTGTACCAGGATGGGCTACTAGACCTTATGATCCCCTGCAATTTTTAAAAGGTTAATGTTGCACCCTGTTTAGTGTGGGGGGCCCCCCCCCCCCCCCCCCTGAACAGTGGAGGGGTGGACGGGTTCCTGAATAAACGGACCCGGATTTTATATGATTTTTAATAGGGAGGAATTTAGATAGATTTAAAAGGGATCCATATGAATCTAAAAGGATCAATAATAATTAGAGAGCCCTGCCCTTAGATGCCTTTACTAAGCTCATCCCTTCCTTCGCCTGCCATCCTCAGAGCTTTTCTGTGCTTCCAGCAGCCCCTCGCATTCCTGCCTGATCTCCTGCCTGAGTTCGTCTCAGCCATGACCCTTTGGCTGCACTCAGAAGGGGGGGGGGGGGTCGTTCAGTGCGAGTTGAGTTGAGGTTTGCAAGTCTCAGAACATCTGGCCCTGTAGCCCCAGCCCACTTAGAGCCCAGATCAAGTAGCAGCCTGAGCCATGAGCACTCAGAGGCAAGACTTTCTGAGGGAGTCTGAGCTGCAGGAGAGGCAGAATGAGGCCCACATTCGACTTCTGAACTACTCCAAGAAGCTTGAGAAGGCCATTAAGGTTTTGACGGAGGAGTTGCCTGAGGGCTCCGTCTGGAGGGATGCTCAGGTGGCTCAGTTCCTTTCTTTCTGCCCTCAGTATCAGAGGCTGAACTCAATGGCAGACCTCCTCAGAACCGAAGTCAGCCTCATTCAGCAGATCCTGAGGCTGATGGTTCAGCCACCCTCGGAGGACCAGAAGGAAGCCTTGAGGGTGGGCTTGAAACAGAGCGCGGACTTGCAGCTCAGAATCCACATGAGCTATTTTCAGGCCTTTGAGACCCTCGTAGGGGGCCTGAGGCTTCAGAACCGCTTTGAGGACTGGCCTGAGAGTCTGGTGAGACAGAGTCCTGAGAACCTGGCCAAGTCCCTCAGGAGCCATGTGATTCAATCCCTTCCTTTGGTTCCAGGGCCTGAGGTCTTTGCTCAGATGGTGAGGAGCCTGCCCAAGGAGCATCAGGTGGATGCCCTGAGAGAGCTCCTGAGGCTCTGCAGGGAAGTCATTCAGGAGGAGCCTGAGGAAGAGGAAGGGGCTTGTGGAAGATAAGCGAGTGAGGGCCACCGTTTTTTAAAATTTAAGACTTGGCCTGAGTCCCCGCTCAGGCTCAGTCGCTCTGCCAAAAGATACTCAGGGGGATGGGTTTAGTTAGGGGTGAAGTGGGTTTATTAATTAAGGGTTGGGGTTTAATTAATGAAGTGGGGTTGAAACCCTAAACCCTAAAAACCCTAAAAACCCTAAACCCTAAACCCTAATTAAACCCTAAACCCTAAACCTTAAACCTTAAACCCTAAACCCTAAACCCTAAACCCTAATTAAACCCTAAACCCTAAACCCTAATTAAACCCTAAACCCTAATTAAGACCCTAAACCCTAAACCCTAAACCCTAATTAATTAAACCCTAAACCCTAATTAAACCCTAATTAAACCCTAAACCTAGTGGCTTTGCATCTCAGGAAGACTCAGACGAAGATGGCCGTCTTCCTGAGCTTTGCCCTCCTCAGTGGGCTCAGCTTGGCCAGCTGCTGGGCTGCATTTAGCTTCAGTGAGGGCTTGCATTTAGGCACTGAGACAGGAGTGAGTGCTTGCATCTAGGACTCAGACAGAGCTTGAGCATGAGGAACTTGTTTTTCTTCAGAGCACTTTTGGTTCTCAGCATCCCCAGCAGCAAGCCTCTGAGCAAGTACATTCTGAGCCATGTCCTTCCCTCCAGTGAAGTCTCAGGGTGCTCCTCCTAAGGCAGTAGGGCCTTATCACGGAGCCCCTCAGGGATTCACTCAGGGCAACCCTGTGCTGCCTCAGAGTTTCGTGCCTCAGCCAATTCCTCCGCCACCTTTCACGAGGCTTTTTCGTTCCACAGTGAGGGATCCTGAGCAGACCCTTCAGTATGACCGTCCTCACTCGTATGAGGCTGAGCCGTACTTTGAGTGCCCAGGCTGTCTGAGGCAGAACAAGGGCACTAAGATCTACCTGACTCGCATCCTTTTTCAGACCCGGTGCATCTATTGCCGCTCCTCATGGCCTGCCTCAGCCATCCTTCAGTGGCACCAGCAGGTGATGCCTCTGATTGAGGACCTGCCCTGGGGAAGGCACTTAGACATCCGCTTCAGGGTCTTCGCTCAGGAGAAGCCAGGCCCACTGAGAGGGTTGGATGTCAGCTTTGGCCCAGCTCCCTCCTCAGGTGGGGCTCCTGAGGCTGCTCCTAAGGCACCACCTCCGCCACTGCCTGAGGATGAGGATGAGGAAATCTCAGCAGAGGTGGTTCACAAGTGGCTGAGGACGACCGACTCCAGCCTGAGTGCCTGCACCTTCCGCCTGAGGGGTCATGGCTACTCTGAGAACACCCTGAGGGGCAGTGTCGCGAAGATCAGGGACCTGAGTGGGGAGGCTAAGGAGATGGTTAAGGACCTCAAAGACCAGCTGAGGGACATCGAGGCCCTCATCGCTGAGCTGGACGACTTTCAGGAGGACCACCTTGAGGAAGCCTTAGACCTGGCTCAGCAGGTCCAGGATAGGCTGGATGCCAAGGCCGCTCAGGCAGCTGAGCCAGCTCCTGAGCCCAAGGCCTCGCCTCAGCACACGCCCCTTCCTGAGACGAGCAACCTGAGTGCTGCCGAGCAGGAGCAGCTGAGGGCACTCCTTCAGAAGATGAACCAGAACCAGCCCTCAGCATCGTCCTCAGGCTTGCCTGAGACTTCCTCCACCCAAAGCTGGCTTGCACATCAGTGAAAGCTGCCTGAGTCAGCACTGAGTGTCTGCTGAGGGAGACTGAGTTTTTGCATTGTCTCCTGAGAGAGACCGGTTTTTGAGCAGGCCTGAGCGAAAAGGAGTGCCTCAGTGAAGCCATAATTAATGAATTCAGTGGGTTTCAGCATTCCTTGAGTTCTGCATGTTCTCGCATCTCAGGTCCAGTCACCTCAGAGCTGTCGGTTCTGGTGACTCAGCTCAAGGACTGGGGTTTTGACGCCTCAGTCTGGGTTGCTCAGCTGCATTCTGGGGTTTAATCAAGGGTTTAGGGTTAAGTGCACCCTGCAGGGTTTGCGAAACCTCAGCAAACCCTGAAGAACAAGCTCCCTCAGCCGTGCTCAGGCTCAGATCTTCGTCCTGAGCTTCGTCTTGGGGGTCGCCTTCAAGACTTACAAGTTCATGAGTGACGTCCTGTGGTACCTGAAAGCTCAGGACACATGTCTCAGTTCAGATCTGAGCGAGCACCCTGAGCCTCCATGCAAGCCCAAAAACCTTAATCCTAATTAGACCCTAAGCCCTAATTAAGCCCCAGACCCTCTCCCGAAACCTTGATTAACCCTAAGCCCTAATGAAACCCTAAACCCTAAACCCTCGAGGAGGAATGGCTGAGTGCTATCTCAGACAGGGTCTCCCACATTGAGCGCCGAGACTCAGGCAGCACCTAAGGAAAACCCACAAACCCAGAATTCCCTAAGCCCTTAAACCCCTAAAGCCCTGAGCCCTTAAACGCCTTAGGTTGGTCTTAGTTTATCCGTCAATTAACACAACTCCTAGGGGTTTAGGGTTTAGGGTTAGTAGTTTAGGGGTTTAGGGGTTTAGGGGTTTAGGGGTTTCGGGGTTTAGGGGTTTAGGGGTTTAGGGGTTTAGGGGTTTAGGGGTTTAGGGGTTTAGGGGCTTAGGGGTTTAGGGGTTTAGGGGTTTAGGGGTTTAGGGGTTTAGGGGTTTAGGGGTTTACTATTCTTGGCAATCTGAGGCCAAGATCATTCCTCAGGAGATTCCTGGGATGCCCTGAGGCACCTCAGCCAGGTCTTCTACGAGTTCGACCCTGAGGCTGAGCATGAGGAAACTCCTCAGTAAGCCAACCCTCAGACCAACGAAACCCTACAACCTAAACCCTAAACCCTAAACCCTAATGAAACCCTAAAACCCTAAACCCTAAACGCTAAACCCTAAACCCTAAACCCTAAACCCTAAACCCTAAACCCTAATTAAACCCTAAACCCTAAACCCTAAACCCTAAACCCTAATTAATTAAGCCCTAGACCCTAATTAAACTCTAAGCCCTAATTAACCTCCGAAAGCAATTCTCAGGCAGGTGGTGCTCAGATCCTGAAGGACATGTTCCTGAGGGTTCGCACTTCCTTAGGGAAGCAGACTGCTTGGGAACCTGAGGCCACCCTGTTGCACTAAGTTCTAGTTTTGCTGAGGTTTTGATAACCCTAATTAATTAAAACCCAAACCTTGCTCAGCTTAGGCTTTTCGAGCTGAGTGGGATGTGCTCCTCAGCACGGCCATCCTCAGTGTGAAATCAGAAGTCTTCTATTGGAGATTCCTGAGAGTGCCGCAGCAGAACTGAGGCATTTCTGAGTCAGTCCAGTAATTAACTAAGCAAAACCCCTGAACTCAGGCACTCGATGGATGCACTGAGTCCAAGCCCGAGCACGAGAAGGTGCTGAGCAACCTGTTGAGGCCTGAGGTTACTCAGCTCTACTTCTCAGCAGCAGCCTGGACTGTTAGGGTTTGGGGTTTAGGGTTTGTTTAGGGTTTAATTAGGGTTTAGGGTTTCATTAATTAGGGTTTAGGGTTTAGGGTTTAGGGTTGAGGGTTTAGGGTTTAGGGTTTAGGGTTTAATTAGGGTTTAGGGTCTTGGGTTTTTGGCATCTAAGGCACCCATTCAGACCAGGATGTCTGCCTTAGCATCCTGGTCCTCAGCACGACACCTCTATCACCAGACTGAGAGCCGCCTGAGGTCCCTTCAGGAGAAAGTTGCTAAGACAGGCACTTAGTCAGTCGTTTTGGGGTTTAATAAGGGTTGAGGGTTTAGGTTTAGGGGGTTCTTAGCTTTAGGCCAAAAGTAATAATCACCTTGAACTAAGGCTCAGTGCCTCGAGGTGAGCTTCGCAGGCCTCAGCAGGATGCCTGAGGCTCCGGGCCAGCTGCCTGAGTGGAACACTGAGGCAGAAGCCACTAAGCTTCAAGATTTGGGACCCTAAACCCTAAAGAAACCCTAAACCCTAATTAAGCCCTAATTAATTAAACCCCAAACCCTAAACCCTAAACCCTAAACCCTCAACCCTAAACCCTAAACCCTAAACCCTAATTAAACCCTAGACCCTAAAGCCTAAACCCTAAACCCTAATTAAACCCTAAACCCTAAACCCTAAACCCTAAACCCTGTCGTCGTCGTAGTAGTAATTGCTTACACCCTAAACCCTAATGAAACCTAAACCCTAAACCCTAATTAAACCCTAATTAATTAAACCCTAGACCGTGCCCTAAGCCCGTCTGAGGTGAAGAAGTGGCAGACTGAGCTCCGCCAATCAGGCCGAGCTCAGGCCTAAAGGGCCTCAGACAGACAGCAGCAGACAGTTTGAGTGTGTGTGTGTGTGTGTGTGTGTGCAAAAGTCAGCTCTCTTCTGTTCTCAGAGATGAATAATTACCCTAAGACCCTAATTCAGCAATGAATGGCAAAATCAAGAGGCCCGCCTTTAAAGGCAAACAGCCGGGATTCCGAAATCGGGGCTCCGGGCCGGGGCCTTGACATTAAAGAGGGTCCCGAATCAGTCCCATTATTCCGGGTCCAAGGGGGGCCCTGGACCACCCCCTTGCCGGATTGAGGGGGACCAATTTTTCAAAAGGTTTCCTTAAAGGAAAATATTGGTTTCGGGCCGGTCGGAATTCCGGAAATCGGCCTTTGAAATCCTGAGGCCCGGCTTTAAAATCAAAAGGCCCGCCTTTAAAGGCAAACAGCCGGGATTCCGAAATCGGGGCTCCGGGCCGGGGCCTTGACATTAAAGAGGGTCCCGAATCAGTCCCATTATTCCGGGTCCAAGGGGGGCCCTGGACCACCCCCTTGCCGGATTGAGGGGGACCAATTTTTCAAAAGGTTTCCTTAAAGGAAAATATTGGTTTCGGGCCGGTCGGAATTCCGGAAATCGGCCTTTGAAATCCTGAGGCCCGGCTTTAAAATCAAGAGGCCCGCCTTTAAAGGCAAACAGCCGGGATTCCGAAATCGGGGCTCCGGGCCGGGGCCTTGACATTAAAGAGGGTCCCGAATCAGTCCCATTATTCCGGGTCCAAG